TTTCTGATGCACTTCAGGAATAAAGACTCGACCTTTAATTGATTTTTTTTTACAGGAGTCTCTGGATTTTGTGAGCCACTGGTTCCATCCATTTTTAGGGGTTTGAGGTTTTGTTTGGATCCATGGGTTCTTATCCGGATGGATCCTATGATGGGTTCGATTTCAATAACGAGTTTGATGATTTGGTTGGCTCAAATGGATTCTATCTAGATGAGCCTTTCTTAGATTTCGCATCTTTAGATCATTCCTCTGTTCCTACACAAACACATCCCCACAACAACAACAAATCTGTAGCTGCAGATTCTTCATCATCTCCATCTGATGATGCTGATTTCTCAGATTCGGTTTTGAAGTACATAAGTCAAGTTCTTATGGAAGAAGACATGGAAGAGAAGCCTTGTATGTTTCATGACGCTTTAGCTCTTCAAGCTGCTGAGAAATCTCTCTATGAAGCCCTAGGCGAGAAATACCCTTCTTCGAGTTCTGCTTACCCGGAGAAATTGTCTGAAGATAGTCCTGATGGTTCTTGTTCAGGTGGTGGTTTCAGTGATTACGCTAGTACCACGACCACTACTTCCTCTGATTCACACTGGAGTGTTGATGGTTTGGATAATAATAGACCTTCTTGGTTACAAACACCGATCCCTAGTAATTTTGTTTTCCAGTCTACTTCTAGGTCCAACAGTGTCACTAGTGGTGGTGGTAATAGTTCGGTTTTCGGGTCAGGTTATGGCGATGATTTGGTTTCGAGTATGTTTAAAGATAGTGAATTGGCTATGCAGTTCAAGAGAGGAGTAGAGGAAGCGAGTAAATTCCTTCCTAAACCATCTCAGCTCTTTATCGATGTGGAGAGTTACGTCCCCAAGAATTCGGGATCCAAGGAAAATGGTTCCGAGGTTTTTGTTAAGACAGAGAAGAAGGATGAGACAGAGCATCATAACTCTGCTCCTAACAGATTGACTGGAAAGAAAAGCCATGGGCGTGACGAAGATGAAGATTTCGTCGAAGAAAGAAGTAACAAACAATCAGCTGTTTATGTTGAAGAAACCGAGCTTTCTGAAATGTTTGACAAGATTTTGTTATGTGGCACTGGGAAACCTGTATGCATTATTGACCAGAAGTTTCCAAAAGAACCCGCAAAAGTCGAGACAACACAGCAAATTGCGGCGCAGTCAAATGGAGCAAAGGCCCGCGGAAAGAAACAAGCTGCTAATAGTAATACTAATGATTCTAAGAAAGAAACTGCTGATTTGAGGACTCTTTTGGTTTTATGTGCACAAGCTGTATCAGTGGATGATCGTAGAACCGCAAACGAGATGTTAAGACAGATTCGGGAGCATTCTTCGCCTCTAGGCAATGGAGCAGAGAGATTGGCTCATTATTTTGCAAATAGTCTCGAAGCACGCTTGGCTGGGACCGGTACCCAGATTTACACCGCTTTATCTTCGAAGAAAACATCTGCAGCAGACATGTTGAAGGCTTACCAGACATACATCTCGGTCTGCCCGTTCAAGAAAGCCGCTATCATATTTGCTAACCACAGCATAATGCATTTGACTGTGAACGCCAACACGATTCACATCATAGATTTCGGGATATCTTACGGTTTTCAATGGCCTGCTCTGATTTATCGCCTCTCGTTCAGATCTGGTGGTCCCCCTAAGCTTCGGATAACCGGGATAGAGCTTCCTCAGCGCGGATTTAGGCCAGCGGAAGGAGTTCAAGAGACGGGTCATCGCTTGGCTCGATACTGTCAGCGATACAAGGTACCGTTTGAGTACAACGCGATTGCTCAGAAATGGGAAACGATCAAAGTCGAAGACTTGAAGATTAAAGAAGGAGAGTTTGTGGTTGTAAACTCTCTGTTCCGTTTCAAGAACCTTCTAGATGAGACCGTTGTGGTAAACAGCCCGAGAGATGCGGTTTTGAAGCTGATAAGGAAAGCAAACCCAAATGTTTTCATTCCGGCGATACTAAGCGGATCATACAACGCGCCATTCTTTGTCACGAGGTTTAGAGAAGCGTTGTTTCATTACTCAGCTCTGTTTGATATGTGCGACTCGAAGCTAGCGAGGGAAGACGAGATGAGGCTGATGTTTGAGAAAGAGTTTTATGGGAGAGAGATTATGAATGTAGTGGCTTGTGAAGGGACAGAGAGAGTGGAAAGACCAGAGACTTATAAGCAGTGGCAAGCGAGAGTGATCCGAGCGGGGTTTAGACAGCTTCCGCTTGAGAAAGAACTAATGCAGAATCTGAAGTTGAAAGTCGAAAACGGATACGACAAAAACTTCGATGTTGATCAAAACGGTAACTGGTTGCTTCAAGGTTGGAAAGGTAGAATCGTGTATGCTTCATCTGCTTGGGTTCCTTCTTAATCATCTTCATAAATGTACTTTCTTGTGTCATAAGTAATTGGGTTTCATGTAGGGCTTCTTCTGCTGATAGTCTCTTGCTAGCACGAGAGAATTGGGTTCAGTCAGAGTTAGGGTTCTTGGACATAGCGCGTGTACGAGTATTGTTTATATGCTTGTGACATAGCGCGTGTACGAGTTATATAGCATAAGGGAGATAGTACTCTATGTAGATCTTTTGTAGCATAAATAATGAAAAACTTTTAATCTTGAAGAAACTCTTTGATGA